CCCCACCTTTCCTTACACACACACACACACACACAGTACAGACACTTTCATCTAGAAAATGGGTCTCTCCACCCTCAGGCTGGAGCTGGGCTAACCCCTGCACTCTGGGGTTGCAGAGGTCTCCTTGGGAGGATGTGAACTCAGCACCCAGTCTCCCACAGGAGAGGGTGACCTGAGACTTACTGGATCCTTGGGGCAGAGCCTGGAGCACTGGGTCAGTCAGGGAGGCTGAGGTTAAGCCATGCGGGGCTGGAGCTGAGACATCTCCAAGAACTGAAGCGGGGAGTCCTGGGCACAGAAGACAGTTCTCACCCCGGGTTGTTGGGGTGGAGATGGGGTTGGGAGGAAACACCTGCAGTGCAGCTATCAGCCCTGACTGTTCTGTGGTTCCCCTCAGGGGGTAGTTCTGAGATGGCCTTTATTGTGTTAAAATACACACAACATAAAATTTACCGCTTTAACCATTTTAAGTGTCCAGTTCAAAACTGTTAAGGACCAAAAAAAAAGTGTTAGGGACATTCATAGTTTGTATAGCCAATCTCTTGAACTTTTTTTCATCTTGCAAAACTGAAACTGTACCCATTAGACTGAAATTCCCTCTTGCTGCTCTGCAGTTCCTGGCGATCCCCACTCTACTCTCTTAACCTGACCCCTCCAGGTGCTTCACTAAGTGGGGCCCTCCGGTCTGTGTCATTTCCTGTGGAACTGCCTTCACTAGTGTAATGGTTGCAAGGCTCATCCAGGTTGTAGCTTATCGGAAGCATAGTGTTTTTATTTGTGATGACACATCTGCCTGATTTTTTATGTTTTTTTTTTGACTGTACACTTAAAACGGTTAAGCTGGTTAATGTTATGTTATGTGTATTTTATCACCATTTAAAAAATTGCTGCCCATGATAAGTAATAGCACAAGTTCACACAGTTACTGGGTGTAGCAAACCCAAAGGGAACAGAAGATAAGTCAGCAAGCATTTGGTCCTCCACACAAACCTAAATCTGTGGGTGTTCAGTCCCTTACAGTTACCCCAATATCTGCAGAAGAGGAGGAGCCCATAGATTCCCAGGGCCAGAAGAATATAGGAGCCTGAAATCTGTGTCCACATCATAGCCCCTACTTAAGGGTAATTAATCTCTAATATTATTTGAACATGAGTAAAATTGTCTTAGAGTCTCACAGCACTGATCTAATCTCCTCCACCTTTCCTTACACACACACACACACACACACACACAGACACACAGACACACAGCGCAGACACTTTCATCTAGAAAATGGGTCTCTCCACCGTCAGTCAGAAACCAGGCTGATCCCCTGCACTCTGGGGTTGCAGAGGTCTCCTTGGGAGGATGTGAACTCAGCACCCAGTCTCCCACAGAAGAGGGTGACCCGAGACTTACTGGATCCTTGGAGCAGAGCCTGGAGCCCTGGGTCAGTCAGGGAGGCTGAGGTTAAGCCATGCGGGGCTGGAGCTGAGACATCTCCAAGAACTGAAGCGGGGAGTCCTGAGCACAGAGACAGTCCTCTCCCCCGGGTTGTTGGGGTGGAGATGGGGGGGGGGAAACACCTGCAGTGCAGCTATCAGCCCTGACTGTTCTGTGGTTCCCCTCAGGGAGTAGTTCTGAGATGGCCTTTATTGTGTTAAAATACACATAACATAAAATTTACCACTTTAACCATTTTAAGTGTCCAGTTCAAAACTGTTAAGGACCAAAAAAAAAAGTGTTAGGGACATTCATAGTTTGTATAGCCAATCTCTTGAACTTTTTTTCATCTTGCAAAACTGAAACTGTACCCATTGGACTGAAATTCCCTCTTGCTGCTCTGCAGTTCCTGGCGATCCCCACTCTACTCTCTTAACCTGACCCCTCCAGGTGCTTCACTAAGTGGGGCCCTCCGGTCTGTGTCATTTCCTGTGGAACTGCCTTCACTAGTGTAATGGTTGCAAGGCTCATCCATGTTGTAGCTTACTGGAAACATAGGGTTTTTATTTGTGATGGCACATCTGCTTGATTTTCTATGTTTTTTTTTGTAGTCTTTCATCGGTGCTGTCACATTTGAAGGAGCAGACTTGTCCTTCAGTCTGTGGTGGTTCCCTCCACCTGGGGTATTATTCTCTTTGACGGTGGTGATTCCTGGGGTTTCCTGTCTTTCTCTCCCTACACCTGCTCCATTTTGCTTGCTCCCTCTTGTGGGAGAATTCTTAAGCATTTCTGTCTCGTCTGTGATCCTAAAAGAAATCAGTCCTGAATATTCATTGGAAAGAATGATGCTAAAGCTGAAGCTGCAATACTTTGGCACCTGATGTGAAGAACTGACTCACTGCAAAAGACCCTGTGGCTGCATGGTGACTGCAGCCATGAAATTAAAAGAGGCCTGCTCCTTGGGAGGAAAGCTGTGACCAACCTGGACAGCGTACTAAAAAGCAGAGACATTACTTTGCCAACAAAGGTCCGTCCAATCAGAGCTATGGTTTTTCCAGTAGTCATGTATGGATGTGAGAGTTGGACTATAAAGAAAGCTGAGCACTGAAGAATTGATGCTTTTCAACTAAGGTGTTGGAGAAGACTCTTGAGAGTCCCTTGGACTGCAAGGACATCCAACCAGTCCATCCTAAAGGAAATCAGTCCTGGGTGTTCATTGGAAGGGCTGATGCTGAAGCTGAAACTCCGATACTTTGGCCACCTCATGCGAAGAGTTGACTCATTTGAAAAGACCCCGGTCCTGGGAAGATTGAAGGCAGGAGGAGAAGGGGATGACAGATGGTTGGATGGCATGACCGACTTGATTGGTATGAGTCTGAGCAAGCTCTGGGAGTTGGTGATGGACAGGGAAGCCTGGCGAGCTGCAGTCCATGGGGTCACAGAGTCAGACACAACTGAGCGACTTAACTAAACTGAACTGCTCTTAACAACTCACCAGGCTGCCTCCTGGAAACTTGTCTTTGGATTTCCAGAAGGCGGCAATAGACCTCAAGTCTGCGGGCACCCTCGCCCATAGCAGGGGCTGGTTTTCTGAGCCTGCCACTTGTCTACCAGAGCTGCCATGGGCGCTGCAGGGGGCGGTTCCCACAAGGAGCCCCCGGAGAGTTGGGGGCTGGGGTAGGTCCAGCACCCAGGGCACTGAGGGTGCCCGGGGACCCAGTAAGACTCTGGAGAGTCCCTTGGACTACAAGGAGATCCAACCAGTCCATCCTAAAGGAAATCAGTCCTGAATATTCATTGGAAGGACTGATGCTTAAGGACTGAAACTCCAATATTTTGACACCTGGTGCGAAGAGCTCACTCATTGGAAAAGACCCTGATGCTGGGAAGACTGAAGGCAGGAGGGGAAGGGAAAGACAGATGGTTGGATGGCATCACCAACTCGATTGACATGAGTCTGAGCAAGCTCCGGGAATTGGTGATGGACAGGGAAGCCTGGCGTGCTGCAGTCCATGAGGTCGCAGAGTCAGACACGACTGAGCAACTGAACTGAACTGAGTTGAGCTGCTCTTACAACTCACCAGGCTGCCTTCTGGAAACCTGTCTTTGGATTTTTAGAAGGGGGCACTAGACCTCAAGTCTGCGGGCACCCTCGCCCGTAGCCGGGGCTGGTTTTCTGAGCCTGCCCCTTCCCTACCAGAGCTGCCATGGGCGCTGCAGGGGGCGGGTCCCACAAGGAGCCCCCGGAGAGTTGGGGGGGGGTATAGACCGAGCACCCGGGCACTGAGGGTGCCTGGGGACCCAGAAGGGAGGTTCCGGGGGGGTGGTGCTCCCAGAAGCTCCTCAGTGAACTGCCTGCAGGGAGCGGTCCCTTTCACGCCCTTCGCAGTGTTTATCAGCCTCTTTACCAAAACCCTTCCTCAAACCCTTCCTCTCCCTCGTCATGGGGGTCCCCCCTCAGGTCTCTGGTGCTGCTGGAGAGAACCGGGTGTCTCCACGGATTTCTGCAGAATTCGGGCAGCTTTTTCTGTGGTGGGAGGTCAACCCCGTGGGATGTTTCCTTGTGGGGAGGAGGGGAAAGCGTTTGCTATGTGAGCCTTGATCAGACTCCTTTTTGTTTTTTTACGCCAGAATCCTCCCCTGCTCAGTGAAGGCTGCATGTGTAATCAATCCGTTCAGTCCTGTCTGACTCTTTGTGACCCCATGGACTGTAGCCCACCAGGCTCCTCTGTCCATGGGGTTCTCCAGGCAAGAATCCTGGAGGGGGTTGCCATGTCCTCCTCCAGGGGATCTTCCCAACCTAGGGGTCGAACCTGTGACTCCCGTGTCTGCTTCTTTGGCAGACGGGTTCTCTACTGCTGAGCCATGGGAGAAGCTCCTAGTGAAGGCTGACCTTCTGTGAATCCCCTCCCTTGCACGGAATCTCTAGGTCAGTATCTGGGTTCCCATGACCACCATCACCATGACCACCACCACCGCTGGCAGCATCACCCCCAGAGAGGCCCGGGCAGGTTCCCTGGCGCTGCAGGTTCTGCAGCCCATAGCGAGGTCTGTCGGCCTGTGACCCGGACGCACAGACGGACAAGACTCCTCCAGGGCTCCTGGGGCAGATGGCGCTGTGTTCCCCACACCCACAGAGGTGCCTTTCCTCCTGAGTGGATGTGTAAGTCACTGTTTGTTTCCTTATTGAAATAGACTTGGTTTATGATATTAGTTTTAGATACACTGCATAGCGATTTGGTATTTTTACAGATGCTGTATATTATATGTGGAATCTCAAAAAATAATACAAATGAGTGTATATAGCAAAATAGAAACAGCCTCACCTAACTAACTAGTGGCGATCTGTGAGGAGAGGGAAGCGGGAAGGGGCAAAGTGGGGGTATGAGATTAAGAGATACAAATTACTATATATAAAATACATGATCAGTTAGGGTATGTTGTGGAGCACAAGGAATTATAGCCATTTTTCTGTAGTAACTTCCACTGGAGTATCATCTGTAAAATACCAAATCACTGTGCTGTATATTTGAAACTAGTGTTATGTTGTAAATCAATGCTACTTCAATTTTTTTAAGTTGATAGCAATTTACAAATTTATTTATTTTTAATTGGCTATAATTCAATTTTTAAAACTACTGGTATAACATAGTTCACAATTGTTCACTTTTTGTTTTTAACTAGAAAGTAAAGTTTTTAAGGGCTAAGAATTCTGATTAATACATGTAATTAAAGCAACTAAAATTAAAAAGGCAAACACATTTGTGTGCAAGGAAATGTTTCAAACGTTATAAGGAAAACTCTTCATCCTACTCCGTCTGTATTTTAATTCATCTAATAACTTGTTTCTCAGTTTCTTGACCTCCATCCCTTCTTCACTCTATTGCAGTGTTCATCCCCACAAACAAGCCTCTACTTCATTATTATCAATATCCTGAAGGTCCATAATCTCAATTTCAAGCACCCTGTTCTGCAATAACTCTTTATCATGTCTATCCAGTTTTGCCTCCTATCTTTCAGTTACACTCAATTGTAACCTTTTGTCAGCCAACCATTACTTACCACTTCTTTTCTGCACCTCTGACAATGCAGGTGTTTTTCTTTATGAGTTAAGAACTTTCCTTCATCAACTCTAGTATGTAACTCTAAGAGTTTGTGACAGAAAACTGGAGAAAAAAAAATCATCTCCCCAATGTTACACTATGTTTCAGTAAATCTGGGGGGAGAGGGAAAATTGATCATTTCTTTCTATCGTGATGAAAAGAGCCACTTTATCTGTTGTTTTTCTCCTCTTCCTAAAGTCTGCTTCATTTGATAGTAATAGCTGCCTGGGTTCCTCATGCCACTGTTTGCAAAGGGTATCTGTTCCATTCCCTTAACTTCCAGCTTGTTTGCGTCCTAGTATTTCAGGTGCAGCACTGGACACATCATACAGGTACCTGCCTTTCCGCCCCCTGTGGCGATATTTGTGTGTTTGCTGGAAAGAGCCCCAAGTAAGAACATCTTTAACATTTGTTTACTGTTGGTTATGCCGGGTCTTCGCTGCTGCACCTGGGCACTGCTCGAGCTGCGGGCACGGGCTGCTCAGTGCGGTAGCTTCCCTTGTTGCGGAGCCTGGGCCGTGGGCTTCATGGGCTCAGGAGCTGTGGCACGCGGGCCGAGCTGCCTGTGACATGTGGAATTCTCCTGAACCACAAATTGAACCAGTATCTCCTGCGCTGGCAGGCCGATTCCCAAGCCCTGGGCCCCCAGGGAAGTCCCGAGCAAGAGCTTCTTGTGTGCAGGTGGATATTTTATTTCTTCCTCTAGTTGCTGACTACTTTGTTGTACATTCTTTGTGAAATGTCATCTTGCTGCACACTTAACAAACCAGGCACTATTTTCTATGTGTGTTATGCTTTGAAAAGAGTATTAAAAATTAGACAATTTTAAGGTCATTTCTCCACTGGCAATAAATATAGGTCCGCAAATGCATTTCACGTTCACACCTCACAGAGGCTCAAAGTGTCTTGTGGACTAGCAGATCCTCCAGTGCATGGAGGGACTCCACACAGCAGCTGTTTCCTGTGGTTAAGACCATTCATCACTAGGGGTGTTTTTGTCAAGAGTCTGGGAGGTGGGGGCTGGTGGCTGTGGCTCATTGTTCTCCTCTAAGCTGTGTCTGATTCCATATCCAAAGTATATGGCAAGTCCTAGTAGGGAAATGAGACAGTGAGGAGGAAAGGCAGGCACTCTCCTCGCTCACAAATGCCCAACAGGCCTCCATTATGGCATCTGACACAGTGATGGGGAGAGTTGGTAGGAAGAGGCTTGTATTCAGTCACTCAAGAGGCCTCTTTATCCCAGAAAGGTACTTACCAATGGCATTCCAGACACTAAATTGGGCCCATGTCTGAGAGGTCATCTGCATCATCAGGTAAATGTTCAGGAAGATGCTCACCAGTGGGAGGACAGGCAGAGCAGGGACCTGTGGGCAGAGTCAGTTCATCCCTGAACACAGCCCAGACGTCTGAAAGGGAAACCGTTCCCCCCGTGGGCGGGACAAGTTCAGTCCAATTCAGGCTGTGTGGTCAGTGCCTATTGAGCCTGGTTTCTAAAGCACTGAGTGTGGATCAGGGAAGAGTCCATTGGTTTCAGCAACTCCCCTTCTTCCCTGGTCCCCCGAAGGATGTTTAGACTTAAAGCACACAGACCTGCTTCACTCAAGGTGGACACTTTGAACACATAGGTCACCTACCCTGAACGTAAGAGGAGAGGGGTCCTGGGGCTGCCTCCAGATGATGACCGTGACCCCAGTGATGAGCAGCAGCAGCAGCACAGCCACTGCTGTGAGCACGGGGTCTCCAGAGAACACACGTCTGGGCCACCGGGCCAGGATCAGGCTCAGGATGGTCAGCAGGAGAACTTCAAGGGTCAAGGTGGAGGAGAACAGGCTGGACCCAGAAGACAGACGTCAGGACCTCGGGTCACACCCCTCCCTGAAACCACCAACATCAGGAAGGGCCATCCTATCTCCCAAACTCCTCAACTGACAAGATACACACTCTCACTCCATCCTGTCAATTTCAGAACATGAGTAAAGGGAAACCCCACTGCTCACCAAGCAGGAAGGCACATCCATAGACAATCTGACCAGATTTCCAGGTGGGGATGGTGCTGGTTGGGAAACACAGGCTCTTTAGAATGTTTGAGGTTCCTGCTTCAGGTACAGAGTCCAAAGGACTTCCTTCAACTCCAAACTTCATCTCAATTTTCTCTTTTGTTTTCTCATTCTTATTTAAATTCTGATCTGGCTGGTACCTGAATTAGAGGTTTAAAGGCAGTATTAACAGTAGCCCCTATTCACACAACATCAGGTTATCTACTCCACTTATTTCCTCTCTTGAACAATGAGAAGGCAGCATGACACAGACCAGGATGACCTCCCCATCATCCCCATGACCCCAAGCCCCCCGATCAAGGTGTAGGGGGTCTCACCTGAGAACAAGGACCGAGAAACACACCATGGAGTAAGCGAGCAGGGACGCAACTGCCATGAGGTTTACAATGTCACTAAACTCAAAGAGTAATGCTGTGATCGCTAGAATGGGGGAACAAAAACAGAGGGGCTGCGATTGAGAAACCACTGGATCTGCACATAAGGGAAATGGATCAAGGAAGGAGTGAGCTTTGTTTATTCACCTGCAAGGCTTCCAGAAGACATGATGGCTATAATGGGGATTTTTGTGTGACCATAGAGTCGGGCAAGTCCCCGGAAAAGGAGCCCGTCCTCTGCCATTGCACGGATTAACCGAGACATGGGGAACATGTCACCCAGGAGGCTGGAGAGAAAGTGGAGACACGTGTGAGGACGGAGAAGCAGGAGAGACCAGGGCATCCGCTCCCTGGTCTACAGGGAGCAAGATGCCTTTCCCTCTTGTCTCTCAGTCCCACAGGCTGGGGTGCATGAGCATCTGACAGTGGATGGAGAGAAACCAGTGACACTGACCTGGACGTGAGAGCACAGAGAATGCCAACAGCCACGATGTATCTGGCAGGGCCCCAGCCTACATGGAGAAAAGCCTCGGGCAAGGGGCTGTGGTGATGAATCTGGTAGTAGGGTACCATGAGGGTGAGTGCCGCTGAGACACCAAAATAGGCCAAAAAGCACATCAGGAGTGAGATCAGGGAGATGGACCGCTGAGGCTTTAGGTCTCCTCTCTCTGCAAAAGGGGTAGAAGCAGCAGGTCAGGAAAACACCCTGGGTGAAAGCACAGAATTGCCTTCCTTCTTGGTCCTCCAAAAGCAGGCTAATTTCCTCCCAAACTTTGTGCCCAAGGGCAGCCCAAACTCTGTCCAAACCCCCAATGGGACACACAGTGACCTCGTTACCTCTAGGCTTAATGGCAGCAAAACTGACAAACGCGTAGAAACACGTGGCTGCTCCTTGGAGAACCCCCTCAAAGTCAAAAGGCACAAACCCTCCAGCGCCTGGAGGGCCCAAGCTATGGTGGGAGAAGGAGCAAGAAAGAACGTGGGTGAGGTGGGTTCAGCCATCACTTCTGGGCTCTTCCCTCAATACCACAAACTCTGGGCTGCAGGAAACCCACCATCCGGATCCACCAGCCTGGGTCTCTTTAGTCCCCATCAAATTCTCAGCTCTGACTCCCCTACACACACACACATTAATATCACCAAGGGTACACTCCTAACCTATGAGTGAATACAGCTGTGGCCAATTCGTAGTCCTGTTCTGTGAGCTTCCAGTTGTGCAGGTCTCCCTTAATGAAGCCAGAGACGATGATGAAGCTGAGAACCGACAGGTTGATGCCTGTGAACACTCTGTAAACCCAGGCTGACTCAGGAATGCCCAGAGCAAGTAGTACTGGAGGAGAGAGGGAATATGAAACATGCACAGTAACTAAGTCCACAGAGACGGAAAGCAGCCTCAGGGGCTGGGGTGTGAGGTGGGGCGGATGGACCGTGACTGCTCAGTGGGTACAGAGTGTCTTTTAGGGGAGATGAATGTGTTTGAAGCTCGATGCAGGTGGTGGCTGGACAACATTGTGAATGTACTAGCGCCCCTGAACTGTCCCCATAAGATAGCTCATTTCTTTTCTTATAATTTAAA